CACTTTTCAGAGAACTTCTGCTTCTCTAGTTTCATCTTTTATAAACTGTCCACATGAGCCTGAACTTTGAACAGGCCCTTGTACTCACTTCTGCACCTTTCCAATCCCATTCATTCCCTATACACATCTTATGAAATCTCACACTAAGAACCCTCAAATGTCATTTCCTCTCTGACTTCCTGACTCCATAGCAAGAATTACTACCTTACTGTTCCCATAGTATTTTAAACATAATTCTTTTAGAGATTTTAATACAATTATATTCCAGTTGTTCACTTCCATTTCAGACTAAGAATTCCTTACAGCAAAGAAGTTATCTTTAATACCAAACTATTATAATAATGCTCAGTACTTATAGTAGTACTTAATAGTACTTTAATAGGTTCTCCAAAAAGCCTAAGTCCAATTTCCAACACTAGACAATTTTAGTTGCAATGCAAGTTAAATATACCTTTCTACCCTAAATTGGAACTCCAATCACAGCCATTTCCCCTAGGAAATATGTTCTGAGTAACAGACTCTCTCCTAATAGAAACACCTCACATACTTAATTTTGCATTTCATTTCAGAATGTTCATGGACCACAATAATCAAATTCCACCTCCCCAACAAACATTATAGCTGGAAATTGAGTTTCTCTCCTCACAAAATAGGAACTGGTACAACAGAAAGAAGTCAGGCTGTGAGGATACAAAATCACTAATACTGGCTCCTATACTTAGCTTAAGGCTCAATTTTCCCATTTTAAAACTGTGAGTACATATCTACTTTGCTGGTTTGTTTGCTTTGTTACAAAATAAAGCATCTAGCACAATATGGACACAAATATGTCTTTTTAATTACATGTCACTCAACAGGCATTAAAGTTTCCCTGCCACTATTTCACAAGAATAAGATAATACAGTTATCACTTGCCACTTGAAAAACAAACAGGAAAAGTAGAATTCGTAATTCAAATATTTGCAACATGGGGACTGTTTGTACTTAAAAGTAAAATCTAAATTTTTTTTGTTGTTGTTAATCCTCACCCAAGGATATTTTGTCCATCGATTTTTAGAGAGTGGAAGGGAGGGGGAGAGACAGAAACATCAATGTGAGAGATACATCGATTGGTTGCCTCCCACATGAGGATTGAGCCTGCAACAGAAGTACATGCCCTTGACCAGAATCAAACCCAAGACCCTTCAGTCCACGGGCCACTGCTCTATCCACTGAGCCAAACCAGCTACGGCTAAAATCTGAGTTCTTTTTAAATGTTTTATATAATTATTTTTTCAACTTGTTCAAATTAATATTTTACCTTAAAAGTCCAGGTTTAGTGTGATTGTTGGCTTTCTTTTCAAAAAGATATATCAATAGATCCATGGGACTTGAGAGATCAGTATTTATTTTAAAAAAGAAAAACAGGAAAAACAAAGACAAGATTTACTTTATTCCATATTAATGTATTCTTTGTAAACATACCCACAGACTGCATCTGACATATAGCAATCAGTAAGTTTCTTTTCATTAATGGCTATAACTTTAGAACCTGAAATTAACTATACACTAGTATCTCCCAGCCTGAACCTTCTATAAATTGATAAACCAATAAAAAACAAGCTTCCGTTTCCTCCAGATGTTTAATGCAAGATGCAGTGTACCCATATTCTATGAAATGTGACTACCAGTAGGTAGGTTTGTAGCCCTACTGAATCAAACAAATAAAAGCACTGTGATACAGCTAAAAGCCTTACACAGATGTTCTGTTCTTAATCACTATAAATAAGGTTGTCTCTTGTGCTTTCTCTACTTTAGGAAGTTATATACTTTATAGATGAGAAACAAATCAACTCTACTGGTTTGAATTCTAAGTTATTCTTTTTACTAAAGACCTTTTGTTTTTCCAATTAAGATGGGAAGACCCAGCTGTTGGTATAAATAACTTATTTCTGTGACAATATTGAAAGGATATCACAATATTCAGTGTCAGTTCTGTAATCTTTTGGTAAGGGAGTGGCTAGCGGTTCTTTGCTCTCAGTAAGTGCTCTGGGCTGATGGATAAACACACTAAATTTAACACCCTGGTTGTTGGCAGCTCTGACAAAACCACTATTGGCAGTCATTGTGATGGCTTTTAGGGTGTCTCCTGTCCCAAAAATCGTTAATGAACGACTATTGATTTTTGAACTGGCCACTAGTCGCAAGGCACGTTCAGAAGGCTGGTCTGGCACCACATTAATTCGCTTAATTAGCACAGTGGCCCTCTCTCTCTCCCCAGGTCCTCCTAAAGCATCTAGAATAGACTGGAAATCCTTGACAGCAGATTCACAAGCAAACAGTTCCTTGTCCTTCATAAATGCCTCCAGCTGCGGTAGAACCTGCTCTTTCCTCTCTTGTTCTGCTTGTTCTGTTAGTACTTTTTCTCTAAAGATAAAGTGGCAACCTCCATAGCTGAGGGCAGATACATATGTGATTAAAGTAGTAATGTCCAAATTTACTCTTTTGCACACATCAACCTTAATCTCTGTTGGAAATGCAACACTTGCTAGTATATTTTCCCGGTCTACTCTGGTCACCTGGAAACATTCAGGGCCCTCTTCATCGGATCCACTCTCACTCAGCTGGAGCTCTTCAGGGTGATCAAACAGAGAGTTAACTGCCACTATGTCTCCTCGCACAGATATGCCCATTTCTTTCAGCTTCTCTGCCATGGGGCTGGAGACACTGTTGTAAAATGCAAAGATGATGTGAGGGTTGCTATACTGCACTGGCTGCTGGTGGCTGGCCTGAAGGAAGTCTTCAGCTTGCTCAATGATGCTTTTGTCACCATACTGGCCCCGGCCCAGCCAAATATTATGCAGAGCTTCAGCCTTCCGGCCAATGGCTTTCACCCAAGTATGACCACCGTTTGCAACAACATCCACCACAAGGGTCTGCTTTTCTCCCAAGGTATCTGTGTAACCAAAAACATGAAGAACACTAACAACTTCTTCCAGATTTTCTGCTGATTCCACTATGGCTCTCAAGTGTGTTAAATTAGTGCTCTGTAAATGGGATTCCTTAATAGCTACTTTCCCAGCTTCTACTTTCTGTAAAAATTTTAATTCGGCCTTCAATTTGCTGCACAGCTTGGCACCACCTTCAACACCACCTTTTCTTGATCTAGAAAGTGATTCTGCTCTCTTGATCAGTTCCTTGGCTATGGCAATTCGTTCACAAAGCATGGAGTGTGCAGACATGCTGACAGCATTATCCCTTTCCTATGAAAAGAAAAGAAACAAGGCACATTGAAAGTCTTCACAAATTGTGGTGATTAATTCTTCACTGAGGATTATAAAACTTCAATCTAGGAACAATGCTTATGGAGGTTGAGTCTAGGCACCTGAGCTTCTGCATGTCTGATTTTGGAGAGACGCCCTTCTCTGACAGCTAAGGAAAGAATAACAGCTATACTTCCGAACTCTTCCTTAGGCGGGCTGGATTCTTAAAAACTTCAGACTTTCATTTCTTCAGCTTGAAGTTATGGGCTCCACAGCCTGTCCCAGGTCAGGATTAAACGCAGGAGTTGGGCAATCTGCTATGTAAGAAACTCCCTATCAGCAGCCTTACTCTGGTTGTAGATAAACTTTAATAAAAGCTCAAAAGTCAAAGTAAACTGATTAAAGTAAAAAATATCCACACAGATATTAGCAAATTATCCAAAGCAAGGCTCTCTCCCCTAAACCGACCACACTAGGGCTCTCCGACCTTTTCCTCCTCCGTGAGCGGGTCTTCCTTAACCAGGGATGGCCCGGGGCACGCAGTACACGCGCCGGGGAGTCAAGACCGCCTCACTCCTGCCCTTAACGCCAACCAGCACATTTTAAAAGACGGAAGGAGCCCACTAACTTGGCCTCCTCTCCGCCTCCAAGCACCAACGAAACTCCATGGGTACAGGGCTCAGCCCGCGGCGGCGCGGCGGCCGGTACGGCGCCCCGGTCCCCGCAGCTGCGGCGGAGGCCTGCCGCGCCGGCTCGGCTCAAACGGCGCTGCGGCCGGGGCCGGGCGTGGAGCGCGGGCGGGCGGAGGCCGCGCTGGTCACCCTCCAGGCCGGCCGCCGAGCTCAGCCCCGCCGGGCCTCGAAGGGGAGCCCGGCCTCCTCCTCCTCCCTCCCCTCCCCCGGCTCCTCACCCGCAGCGCCTGGAACCCCGAGCAGCGGGCATGCGCGCGCGCCTGGCTGAGACCCCCCGGGAACCTCACGCAGCAGCCCCGCCGCGACTGGGCCGCCGGTGCTCCGCCCGCGAGCCAACGCCGCCTCTGACGCCACCGCCTCCGACGCCTCCCGCGTCGCGTAGCCTGCGCCGGCGACGCAGCACCGGGATTCCCAGGAGGCAGCGCGGCCTCCCGAGCGGGGCTGAGGTTAACGCGGCCATGTTTGTTGATGGCACCTGGCTTCGAAGAGGAGGAGGTAGAGGCACAGCCCCGGGAGCCAGGAAAGGAGCAGTGGCGCAATTCCCAGGGGTCCGAGCACACGCCAAGGCTTCACCCCAGGGTCCCAGGCAGGCTGACCTCGGCCCCAGCACCTGATTACTGGTTGGGCCTCGCCTGGGGGGGAGTGGGTGCATTTTAGTGAAGAAACTCCCTCACCCTAGCCAAGTACCCCGTGTGGCTATCAAATTCAAACCCCTAACAGGTGCCAGGCAATGGTCGTCTTAGAGAAAATTTTGGCAGAGGTGACACATCTGGTAAGTGCTGGCCCTGGGATTTCTGACTCCACGCCAAAGCCCTTTCCATTGCACCACCCTGGGCTCCCATAGAAAGTGAGTATAAAAATGAGTGCCCTCCCCAAGAGAACTAATGAGCAAGTGACTTCTCAGAGACTGGAAAATTTATATTAGTCTAGTACAGTAGAGTGCCCAAAGTCACCCAGGAGGTTAGGGCTTTATTAAAGTAACAATTTTAAAAGTTAAGTGGACTTCCAAGTTAAAAATAATCTTTTGTATGCCCTGTGTCAAATGTAAGAAACATTCAAACCTGTGAAGATTTTTTGTGCATTTATTTGAGCCAAACTGTCCACAATTGCTGGGAAAGAAAATCTCAATGCATTGAGATAATGCTCCAGAGAATGGCAGTTTTGCACCTTGTTTTATGCATTACAATCGAAAGAGAAGACACAAGTGGGTTACATGAAATTCATTGGTGATTGATTGGGGAGGGAGTAAAACGATAGACACAAATCTACGTAGGTCCGGAGGTGGGTCCGGGATAACTGACAATCAACAATTAACATGGTAATAACGGTCTCTGCCCCAGGGCAGGGGCATTGGTTGTGCCCTGAGGGGTCTGGAGAAAGGGGAGTTACCCTGACAATCCAAAGGAATGTTATCATAGATGCAAAAGACAATAGATAGGCTTAAAGATTGACTTTTATCAGGGAAGATTCTAGCCTAGTACATGATTACCTGCCATAAACTGCTTTTAGTTAAAGTTTTTAATTTCAAACCATCCTTAGGTTACTTTAGGTCTCTGGGTTTGACACTTCTCCAAAAAGGGCACACAGATGGACAACAGACGCATTAAAACATCATTAATCACCAGAGATGCAAATTAAAACTACACTGAGATATCACCTCATACCTACCAGAATGGCATCCATCAATAAATCAACAAACAAGTGCTGGGGAGGATGTAGAGAAAAGGGAACCCTAGTGCACTGTTGGTGGGAATGCAGACTGGTGCAGCCACTGTGGAAAACAGTATGAAGTTTCCTCTTAAAATTAAAATGGAATTGCCATTTAACCCAGAGATTCCACTTCTAGGAATATATCCTAAATATCCCAAAACACCAATCAGAAAGAATATATGCACCCCTATGTTCATAACAGTGCTATTTACAACAGCCAAGATCTGAAAACAGCCCAAGTGCCCATCAGTTCAAGAGTGGATAACAAAGCTGAGGTATATTTACAAAAAGCCATTCACATCATGGAATATTATGCAGCTGTAAAAAAAAAAAAAAAAAGAATATCTTACCTTTTGAGACCACATGGATGGACCTAGAGATTATTATGCTGAGCAAAATAAGCCAGTCAGAGAAAGACAAGTATCACATGATCTCATACATGTGTAATCTAATGAACATAATAAACTGATGAACATATAAGTCCAGAGGCATGGATATGTGGAACAGACTGACAGATCACAGGTGAGGTGGGTGCTGGGGACAAGAGATTAACCAAAGAACATATGCATATATGCATAGCCCATGGACACAGACAATACTGTAGTGAAGGCCAGGGCTGGGTGGAGGGGGTAAAGGGGTTAAAATGGGGGATATCTGTAATAGTCAACAATAACAGAAAAAAATGGCTAGAATCTACAGGCTGGAAAAGACTAGAATTTGGGACATTTAGAGATGCATGGAATGGATTGCTAAACCAAAGAATCTGGACATAAAGAAAGTACTTATTTTAAGGCAAATGAAAAGAACAAACTGAGAACAAGGGAGAAGTGTTCTAGGCAGCTTCAATTGAACTGGGCTTCATATTTAATGTGGCTATAGGCAGAGATTAGACTCTTGACACCAATCCATTTCAGCTAATTTTTCCTCTCTTTATTCTGTAAACATCCAATAAGAAACTGCATGTGGTTTCCTTTTGTCCTAAATATAAATGCCTTTACTTTTCCCTTCTTTGATTTGTAGAATTTTAGCATCCCTCTGTTTTTTTAATTTGACATCAGAGAGCAAATTCAAAGGCAGTCTTAGCCAAATCATTATCCTTGCCAGGCCTTTCACTTGCATTATTAAAATATACTTTCAGAAAACCCTCTGAGATAATTAACTTGTGCTGTCACTTAGGCAGTAAGTGGGAGAGGTGAGACCTGACTAAAAATCATTCCTTTTTATCACTAACTTCCCTTTCTAGTGTGTTGGATTCACAATATATCGAGAACCCATAAGGAAAGATTAGATGAGGCCTTCAAGACAAACATCTATAATATGCTAATTGACGTCCTTCTAGACGAAGCTAGGGCTGCGAGGGAAGCCCGGGTCCCGGGTGCAAAAGGGAAGCTGGTGCCAGCAGCCAGGGTAAGGGAGGCCTACTCTTGCACGAATTTTGTACATCGAGCCTCTAGTCCTGAAATAAGTTGGCATGTACCATAATAATGCTTCTGCCACTTAGAATGAGATAGGGGTGTTATAACTGGGAATCCTGACAAAAATTCTCTAAGACTCTTCCCCTAAAGTTGGCTAAATTTTAATCAAAACCTTTTTAGCTACATTTAATCATGGAAATGCTAGTATCTGTTGGTAAGAATAATGACACTCATAAACCCTCCCTATGTTCTGTAAGCCAGACTAATGATGTGATTTCTCTTATCCTACGATCTTTTTAAAAAGACAAAGGTTGGTTCAGTGGTTGAGCGCCGACCCATGAACCAGGCACGGTTCAGTTCCATGCCCAGGTTGTGGGCTCAATCCCCAATAGGGGCTGTGCAGGAGTCAGCGGATCAATGATTCTCTCTCATCACTGTTATCTCCCTCTCCCTCTAAAATCAGTAAAAACATTAAAAAAAAAAAAAAAAAGACAAAGAAAACTATACTATGCCTTTGCATATAATGAAAACAGTTCAGATACTCTGAATCACCTGCTTGATTGTATGGACTTTAATTTGCAGTAAAGATTCTGAATACTCTGAGATTACATGAATGAGGGAGTCTTAAACCATAATTTTGACGCTTAAGTATTAGTATTTTATTTCCAGCACTCATATTCATCCTTAAATTTAAAAAGTCTGTTCTAGACTCTAAGGAGGTCTTTTACAATACACTTATCTACTTGTGATGGAGAAACCAACAAGAACCAGGACATAATTTTTCACTTACATAATTTATATCCCAAGGAGACTATTTGGCTTAGCACTCTTCTAAGCTCCAGTGCTATTTCACAGAACCACCTAGGGTTCCACTGACCCACACCTAGTGGTCCCTAAGAAACAGCTACGCTTCCTACCTTGTCTTAGGAATACATGAATGTCTGTAGATTTTCTCAGCTCTAAAAACAGTGTTTACCAAAATCTGCATTTTGCTTTACTGAAGCATAGACAATATCTGGTAGTAAAGGAAGAGGATAATAAGATTTGACTTAACCAAAATTGCATGAAGACTAAAGAATGACTTCACCATTCTGTTTTGCAACGTAGTTTCCAGAAATCAACGGAGATAAAAAGCAGAAAATAACTTTTAAAATTTTACTAACTCCTAAAAATCTGAAAGTTGGATTTAACAGTTTATTATGAGTTATAAGTATCATTTTAAAAACACTGATCCATTAAATCATGTAGAAATAAGTATGCAAAAGTTTGCAAAACAAAACATACTTTAAACATGTTTAAGTATAGAGATTATCTGCAATTCCAGATTTTCAGTCACTTCATTATGCTATGGCAGCCAAGTAATCCTTAACTTCAGTTGGAGTAAGCCTCCTAAATCCAGCTTCATTGCAGATTCCAACTTCTATGTTATCTTCTGTCATCTGCCCTTCAAAGCTTTCCTATTGATGAGGCAGGAAAAAAGGTCAATTTTCCAAACAGTTAATTATAAAATCATTATAAACCCAACTGTTAGATATTGAACTAACCTTTAGGGTTAATATGGCTGTATGAATGGCATCTTCAAGTTCTAGATCTTCATTATATCTAAAGAGTTTTTCGAGAAAAAACAATTATGGCACAATTTATAGTATAATAATTATTTAAACAAAATGATAGCAACAGCTTAAGACTTTTAAAAAATTTTAAACACTCTTAAAAATACTAAGTTACAAATTAATCCTTTTAGTCACCTAATTGAGATAGTTGTCCAATAAGAAACTGACAATAATTTAAGGTGCATTCCCAATATCATGAATATAATCCCAATATGAGTTTATTTTAGGAAACTTCTTTAAGTATAAGTAGTTCAATATAATCAGAATGTGGTGGCAATATTATAGTAATTCTTAAAAATAAAGCAGAAAATACAGACTTTTGCTAAAATTTATTGTTCTTTTAAGTTATAACTCCATGTGAAATGTTTTGAAGACTCATTAATAAAATGAGTAAAAGAAAAGGGAAGTGATTTAAGATCCTAAATTATTTAAGTTTAACAATTAATACCAGGTCTAATCTTAGCAAAGTTCATCTGTTAGTTAAAGTCAATTACAAATTTCTCACATTAAAAATGTAGAACGTTTTTTGGAGGACTACAATAATGCCGAGTCTAGAATACAACTAGAAATAAGTGAGAGCAATTCATTGTTATTGTTAGGGGAGCGACAGCAGATTTTTACATAGTGCTCCACTTTTTATCAAGCATGTATATCATATACTTACTCTACCATCAATACCAAGTATTTGGCTTCACAATTTATTTTGGTAATTGTCATAATGTAAAATGTTACCACTTAAATCACTTAAAAAGTTTTCTCCAAATCCAATTGTCCTTATATTTTGATAGAAAGAGTTCTTAAGAAATTAAAAAATATTACCAATTAATATATTGAAGAACAGGGAGCCAGAGTGGAGAGTTTTTTGTCTTATCTGTAAGTAGGCTCGAATACAGAATACAACAACAGATTTTGGACTCAGGATATAAATTATTTAAAGAGAGCTGAAAACCATCAAGTAAGATTGCTAACAAATCCAGTTATGGTGAGCCTACCTTTTCTCAAGAAAAGTTTTTCCATTCACATAGTTCTTTCCCATCGCTGTGGCTTTCCAGGCAAAGTAAGCTCCCTAATAAGGATAAGGAAGAAGAAAACCCATTATTTTAAATAATCTAATTATATTGACCTGCCATTTATTTTTTTTTTAAATGTATTTCTTTATTGATTTCAGAGAGGAAGGGAGAAGGAGAGAGAGATAAAAACATCAATGATGAGAGAGAATCATCGATCGGCTGCCTCCTGCACACCCCCCCACTGGGGAACGAGCCCGCAACCCAGGCATGTGCCCTCGGCCGGAATCGAACCCGGGACCCCTCAGTCCGCAGGCCGACGCTCTATCCACTGAGCCAAGCCGGCTAGGGCGCCATTTATTTTTTTAGCTCTATAATTTGTCTCTAACTTCTCAAGTCACAAAGTAGGTTATTCTTTCAAAAAAGTTCCAGGGATACAAAAAGGCAAAAAAAGACTTTTGGAAGTTATGGGGAAGTTCAGTATCTTCATTGTGGTGATGGTTTACTCAGGTATTTACCTATATCAAAACTCCTCAAGTTGCACCCTTTAAAAGTGTGCAATTTATTGTACACAATTTATGTAAAAAAGCCAGTTAAAGGAAACTGTGGATGACATAAAGCAAACAATTAAGAGTGATATTTTAGCTTACTAGGATTGAAGGGCTCTATAAAACTGTCATATGTATCTGAAAAGTGGTGCTCAATTCATCATATTGGTGACTAATTAATTAAAGCAGCAGCAATATGGCATGACTTCCTTCATCTGTTGAAAAAATACACACGTACACACACACACACACACACACACACACACACACAAATACCACACATATTTTAAAAGAAACAACTGCCTTTTAGATACAAGGATGAAAAAGGGCAAAAGATAAAATCTAGATTCTTGTGATGGTGGCTTCTGCTACCCACTAAAAAGGAAAGTAACAGGGCTTGTTATCTAGCTTCAGAAACTCAAAGAGATGTAATAATAAAGTTCTCAAAATACTTAATTTTTCTGATTTAAATAAATTATTTTTCTTTGCCTTTTTAGATTACAAAGTTAAATCATAGGATTTGAACTAAGCGAACCTGTAAATATCTAATGATACATTAAATACGAAAGATCAGTTCCTAATGATTTTTTCTTCCAGTTCTCCTCACAGCAAATGAGACAGATGCAGAGTAGCAACATCCTTTATGAATACTTCTAACTCAGAGACCAATCCTTTGCTTTAGAGTAGACAAGTCACCCATTTTGCAAAACAAAAGACAGTTACATCAATGTTTCCACAGGATTAGTCATACTCAAGTCAGCCCCGAGATTAAACAGATGGCAGAGTACAACACTGTCCTCTAGACCCATATATTTCACAATATTTCTCAAAGTAACAGAATTCCAGACACTTAAAAAGGTCTGATAAGTATTTCAACAAATCATTCAATTACGTGACATGAATGAACAAGACAGAAGAACAGAGGGCAGAACTAAGGTAGCTTCCTCATCGAAAGACTGAATTACCAACACTTCAAATGTGCAAATAAATAGGAACTATTTCATACTTTCTAAAGTCCAAATGAAAAAGACAAAAATTGTTAATTTCAAAATTTTTATTGTTTTTATTAGCTTTTAAAGGAATATTTTAACAAATCCCTCAAATACATCTGATACTTACTGATGGATCTGACTGAAATAAATATGGTCGCCCCTCATTCCAACCACAAATTAGTAAAGAAACTCCAAATGGACGAACACCACTGAAGAAAGGAAAATGAAAATTACTTGGTTAAAGTCAATCTAAGTAAGTATTAATTCTCAAGTGAAGTAAATTATCGGGTAAACCAAATTAGACTCATAAGTTCCTTAAAAAATACTTAATACCTCTTTCTGAACAAATCAAATCAAATCAAAATAATTCTCTTTGTGGTACCAACGAATAGTAGTTAAATCATTTCGGTAAATGGAGTGACACAAATATTGGGTGAATAAGGGTGGAGTAACATTAAGTGTCCTAACAAAATGACAACCTTCAGCAATGCAGTTTTCTCACTGACTTCACACACCAGCAACTAGCTTTACACTACCTCATCCACATTCACAAACTCAAGAGAATTAAAATGAATATGGATGTGTCAAAGAGTTATTGCTTTCCTGGTGTGCTTATGATCATTTCTGATTGGGATGATAAACTTGAAAACAGTAGGGTTGTTTGCCTATACTAGTAAAAAGTGTTTTAGTAACTGGCAAAAGAAATTTATTTAGAAGCTACTTTCTGCTGCTTTCCTCTATTATACAAACAGCAAGAAAACATTCAGATTTTTTCCATAAGAAAATATTCTAGCTCCAGTTGAGAAATTATTCATCATGGTGATTTTCTCTACTCATTAAATAAATACAGGAATACTAAGTCCTCTTTTTTTAATGTATCTACTCTTCTAAAATGATTTTTTTCTAATATGACACATTTCAAGTAATAAAGTCAACTTACCCTGATTGGGTATATTCTTGCATCACAGAAGCTACTCTCTGTACCAGCTGAGCTGTGGGAATGGGTTCTTGGTAAACAAGATAATATTGCTGAGCTAGTTTTCGAGCTCTGTGTACAAGCACTCTAGCAAATAAGGAAGAAATAAAGTTTAATTAAAGTGAAGACATTTTAAAGACTCATTCTCCTTCTAACAGCATATAACTACAGCACAAGTTTAGTAACTATGTGCTCAAAGCCAGTCTTGCTACTACATGATTCCAGTTAATTTACAAGAAAACATCACAGCATCACAGAGATGAGCCACGGGAAATAAATAAGGACAAGGCAAAAAGCGACTAGCAGTACCAGTCAGCTTAATAACAACGGATTTAGTGTATACTAGGACAATGAGAGCTTTATCTCCCTCCATGGTTTCAAGATTGTGCTCTTTCTCCCAAGGGCAGTCACCCTGATGCTTTATACCTCAATCCAGCACACACATATACACCTGCACACATGACCAAAAGTTCAAGCATTTTTATTCTCTCTGCCTCAAACTTTCTCATAGACTACACTTCAAAAAGTCTCTTTCAAAGATTAAAGGATAGCAAATAACTACTTCTAACTTAAAAAATGTAAAATTTATCTTAAGAATATACTGTATAATAATCAAGCATATAGCAAAACCAATAGGATGTAACTTTACCTGCTTACGTACTACTGATCTGAATGAATCATGCACATTATCACCCTGTACAATAAAAACTCAGTTTATTCCATCAGTAGTAGCACACTGAGGCATCCCTTCTATAAACCACTAACAGGATCCACTATAGTGAAGCATGATCACATTCCAGAGACACTGTTGCTTTTAAACTTATTAAAGGGAAATTCTGGCTCTACTTATTTTGTTCCACACAAAATCAAGAATGAAGTCATATTCCTTTTATTGTTAAATGACAGAGAGCTGTCAATCTCTTTCAACTTGTTGGTCCCTGATGTACAGGATTACTCTCTCCCCTCCTGTGAAATACAAAGGAGTGAACAGATGATCATCTATCAGTGGTTCTCAACCTTCTGGCCCTTTAATACAGTTCCTCATGTTGTGACCCAACCATAAAATTATTTTCGTTGCTACTGTTATGAATCGTAATGTAAATATCTGATATGCAGGATGGTCTTAGGCGACCCCTGTGAAAGGGTCGTTCGACCGCCAAAGGGGTCCTGACCCACAGGTTGAGAACCGCTGATCTAGATCCTGAATGGCTGTCATATTCAGAAATTTTCAGTGGCCTTTGAGAATTTTGTCCCTTTACTAAAAACAAATAAATAAAATAAGGTCAATTCTGGACGGTGATACTTTCTTCTGCTGCCTGATGACTTTTTAAAATATAGTTTATTATACCTATTGTAACTTGTATTGCTTTTATTGTTTTTTAAAATGCATTCGAAAACAGCAAAGCCCTTGAAGTCCAGCCCTTGAATGGTAGAAAAGGGACTGTGCTCAGAAAGGAGAAACTACTAAACAGAGGTAAGAAGAGTAAGTACTGTATCTATCTCCTCTTTTACAACCAACTTGCTTGCATTGAGTATCCTCCTTAAAGTAATCCTTTATGCTGCTGTTGCTATACAAAACAAAACAAAAAGGAAGTTGGGAGATTAAAGGATAAACATTCCTTGATTTTTTTTCTCCTCAAATATAGATTATGAGCAGTCATGAGACAGTGAGAAAATTAATAAATAGTATAGCATACCTGTAATCTGGGCCCATGCCACTATATACCAAGCCTATATGTTTGGTAATTGGCTCCACTTTGTGTACACTTCGCTCATCATACAGAATGGATTTCTGTTTCTTTTCCGTTGCTAATACCACACCATTTGAAGCTTAAAAAAACACACACAAAAAAACACTCCACCTAAATGTTTAATCATTTAAAAACTGCTTCAAGAGCTTTAGAATTATAGCTACATTTTACCAATTTCCTTTTACTTACAACTTTTTCTTCTGGATTTCTATATTAAAACATATTGCGGACCAGTAGTTTTATTGCTAGCTTTACCCAGTGGCCAGGCAAGTTTCTACTGAACGAGTACAAAAAAGTTTTACATAGATGTTAAAGGCACGCTTTAATATTAAATACCCATTGCATTTTGAAGTTATTTATTACATATTCTTACAAGCTAATATCTTTTTCAAGTATGATACTTTGTAAAACACTGTGTAATACGAAGCAAGAATTCTCTGTGATCCGTCTGCAATGTGTTAAAATCACCTAAGGAGCAACAGTAAATCAATTTTTCCCTCAGTGGTCATCCACATACACAAAAAAATACCTACAGCTAACAATATTACATAACTTTCTCAAAAGTATTCCAGGACATTTAAGAGCCCACATGTTTTAAAATAACAGAATTTTGCCTACTCATCCTACTTTTCTTATAATCTGAAATTTAAAAATCAATGACAAAGACTTTTTTTAAAGGGTATCTTTAGATTAAGTTTTGTAATAACCTTTTCTAAATTGCAGGAAGGATAAAAACTGCCAGAGAATAGTGATATATATATAATTAATGGAAAAATAAAATAATTCTCAGTTATCTGAATGGGAAAAACTATAGATTATCACAACTAATTAGATAAAGGTGCTATATTTATTTGGAAAAAAAATTTAATCACCTTGTTAGGCTTACTATACTCTTGAAACTTCAGATACTGTACATCAGAACTGTTAAAAATTATGCTGTCACAGCTTTTTATTCATAAATTAATTACTAATTAATTCCATAAGAACACTGGGATAACTATTAGCAGGCATCTGAAATGAATGAATTTAATTACCTTTAATGCCCACTGAAGGGGCTCCTCCAGCTACAGCAGCCAAAGCATATTCAATCTGAACAAGTTTACCAGATGGGCTTAAAAAGAAACAAAGGTATTTATTAAATTCACACATTTTCAAATATTTAACATAGAAACATCTCCAAATCCATTAATCAAAAATCAAGAAATAGCTAAACTTTGAAATTTATCATAAAATTGTACGGAAGCTGAAGTTTACTAGGCGATTTGAACATACTCATAGTGAAGTGCTCATCTGTTTCCTTTGGTTATTTTCTTGTCTGCCACTTAAAGAAGTAGCATTACTGTAGCCTTTCACCACTTACCTTAACCTTGTGATTTGGGGCAAGTTATTAAATCTCTCTGTACCTCAGTTTTCTAATCTAGAAAATGGAGATAAACAGTACTATAGTAGTTACCCATTTCAAAGGTTGTGAAGATGAAATGAAGTGATGCCTTTTGTTCCCGGCACAAAATTAATACTAAGTAAACACCAAAATAGTAATGTTATTAAGAACGTGAATGTGTCTGTTAACTACCAAACAGCAGCATATACCTCATGTGGGTGGAGCTATATATATTTTAGAAAGTGGAATGGCCTAAGACTTAAGACCTAGATATCAGTCACGACAAAGTACTTCCTATATAGTATAGTATACTCGTTTACCGTATTTATCATTGCATCTTTCTGTATGAAAACTCACTGATCTGTGAGCTCACTGACCAATCCCTGTATTCAATCATGCCTCTACCCCATTCCAACATCTCTACCTGGGATAACTGCAATAGCCCTTCTAACTACTTTTCCTCTTTCATCCTCACTTCCATCCCCCCAGCCGGAATTACCTTTGTACCATGTCACTCCCCACTTAAATTCTACAGTAACTTCTGGGTTCTCTTAAAATAAAAACTCCTTACTCTAGCCCTACAAGATTGGACTTGACCCACGCTAACCCTTCCTCACTATACTCGAGCACATCTGCCTTATTCAATTCCTTTAGGAGATCAAGCTCTTGTCCAACTTTAGGACTTTCATACCTGCCCATGTTCCCTCTGTCTGCAACGCGCTCTCACCCCTCAATCTTCCAACAGCTGGCTCCTTTTCATCTTCCAATCTCAAAAATCACCCTCAAGCATGGGCCTTTCCTGACTCTGATTACCCAATCGAAAGTTATGTTCCTTAATCTAGACCCACGAATCTCAGAGGGAAGGGGAGGGCGGAAAGAGATCAACCCAAGAACTTGTATGCACATATGCAAAAGCCACGGACACAGACCATAGTGTGGGAGGCTTGGGGGATGGAGGCGGGGTGGAGGGGATCAAAGGGGGGAAATGGGGGAACATATGTTATACTTTAAACATAAAGATAAACTTAAAAATGAAGTTATGTTCCTTCTTTAAGCCTCTTTTTGTAAAACTTCCCAGGAAGGGGGAAACATTTTCCAGAATGCAATTACAGGCACCAATTTGTTAACTCGTTTCCTGTTAATATTCCCAACCGCACGTGATATACAAGAATACCTAGGAGGAGATGATAGAAAGCGTAGCGCTTTCATTTTTAGTTCCTAAGCTTCAAATAAAGGCATCGAAGAAACCGAAAGTGGGAGATTTTGAACGACACTAGTACGAAAAGGAGGCTAAAACTCAGATCAAATGTTAAACTGAGGCTTGCTGCGATCTGACCAACATTCCGAGCTCCAGAAGCTCCGGAGTCAGGCCGACCTGGGTCAGGAAGAAAACCCTGAGTTCTGAACGGGACACCCAGACGCAGCTCGGCCAAAGCTGCCTTCTTCTCTAGTCTCCAAAGCGAAAGCAAATCCCTGGCTGAGGCCGGTACCTTCCCACAACCTCAGGGTCGCCCGGGACTCCCGACCTGCGTTCCCGCGGCCTCCCGGGACCGCTTGCTCCCCAGGCCGTGGGCGGGCCCGACAAATGACTTTGCAAAGTCGTATTCCAGCCCCCTCCCCTACTGGGCCCTCCGAAAGCACCGAGCCGAAGACCAAGTCGGAAGATAAAAAAAATTAAAAACCCGGTGGGCAAAGATCCTGCAATCTCAGCCACGCAGAGAATCTCCATACCTGAAAGTAGTCAACGAAAAGCTGTAACCGCGCTCCGCCATCTTTGCCCGGAGACCCAAAGCACGTTCTCGCACCTGCGCACTACGTCCGGCTTCCTTTCATTTCCCTCCAGGCGCCTTCCTTCCTTCCTCTCCCTCTGATTGGAGGAAAGTCAGAGCCGCTCCAGAGGCATGCTGGCCGTTGTAGTTCCAGACGCCGGGTTGTCCGACTCTGCGTCAGTGCGCATGCGCGGAATGGGGGCGGGACTCGGCCGCCGCATAGAAGGCTTCGGTGTTTGCGGCCATGCTGGTGCTGGTGGTTCCGCCGTGGCCTGCAGCCCGGGCGCTTCTCCGGAGCTGTTGGCAGCGACTGCAGTGGAAACTTCAGCAGAGCCGGCCAGGCTTTCCCAGCCCTCCGTGGGGTACGTAACGGAGGTCGCGGTAGAGAAGAGGTGGATGAGGGAACGCCAGGCAGCGGGGTGGATACAGTTCATACGCTGCCCTTCGCCCACGTTTCTGTCCGCGACAGGGGACGTTTTCAGGGACGCTTACTTGGGAACAAGAGACAGTTGTTTTTTCCGCTCCCTCTCCGCAAAAGAAAAAGCCCTCCGACACCTTCGTACACGGAATGTGACTGAGGCTCATTAGCTCAGCATCAGGGGCCGCCACGACGGGGATCCTTTGATCTTGCCGTTCCTGTCCCCCCGCACCTTAAAGCAGTTTGTCTTTGTGGTGGTGGAGTTCCGTGCAGTTACGTCCTGATCCCCGTGTTTCCCCCGGAAGCTAATTTGAATGGAAAGTGTCTTAGATATTACAGTTTTATATGTACATCCTGCTCCATTTCTGAGGTCTGCCCGACGTGGTGATGCACCGGCAGCCGGAAGTGAGCGCCCACTCACCAGGGGCCGGAGCCGGCCTGTGCTCCGGGGGGTCATTCCCAGAGCGAGCCCAGGGGACACCACCTTCCAGCTGAGGACACGGGCCGAGCAAGGGCCTCTGCTGTCAACCGCTGGGCGATGCTGAGAGAAACTTGGAGGTTAAAGGGAATACCAGTTTTGTTTGTTTGTTTGTTTTTAAATATATTTTATTGATTTTTTACAGAGAGGAAGGGAGAGAGAGAGAGTTAGAAACATCGATGAGAGAGAAACATCGATCAGCTGCCTCCTGCACACCTCCTACCGGGATGTGCCTGCAACCCAGGTACATGCCCTTGACCAGAATCGAACCTGGGACCTTTCAGTCCACAGGCCGACGCTCCATCCACTGAGCCAAACCGATTTCGGCAGGAATACCAGTTTTTAAGTGTTGCACAGCCTTGTATACTTTTTTATTTTAATTTTTAAAATGTAAAATTTTTTTTAAATTTATGGATTGATTTTAGAGAGAGGAAGGCTGAGTGAGAGGGAATCACACCCTCAACCTTGACTATTGGCCCCATGCTCTAACTAACCGGGCTACCCAGCCCGAGCCTGTATATTCTTAAGAGTACCTAAAATCGCCGAAACCGGTTTGGCTCAGTGGATAGAGCGTCGGCCTGCGGACTGAAAGGTCCCAGGTTCGATTCCGGTCAAGGGCATGTACCTGGGTTGCGGCCACATCCCCAGTAGGAGATGTGCAGGAGGCAGCTGATCGATGTTTCTAACTCTCTATCTCTCTCTCCCTTCCTCTCTGTAGAAAATCAATAAAATATATTTAAAAAAAAAAAAAAAAGAGTACCTAAAATCAAAAGAAATACTGCAAGTCTGAGGAATGGCAAGGATCGGAGAAAGGAATCTATTTGATTTTATAAACAATTTAGAAAAAAGTGAAAGTTTTTTTTCAAAAAAAGTGAAAGTTTTTTCAAAAAGGTTGATGGTTACATAAACTAATATACAACGAGTGGTGAGCTAGTACTTTTTCTTAGAGAACAGACAGGAATCGAGATAAAATATTATGAACTAAGTGACTTACATAGGGCCTGCCAGCTTATATGACAAAGGACCTAACTCAGTTTGAATATAATTTTTTTTTAAAAAGCCAGTAGGCAGTGCAGTTTTCTCACTAGGTCAGAAGTGCCCTTTGGGACTCTCAAGCTTAGATTTACTTGTAAAATAAGTAGGTGTACTCCCCACCGACAGGATATGGACAAACTCTTGCTAGAATTTCACTGATTTCATTTCAGCAGGGGTCTCTAAGAAAGAAATTATACTTGTGCTTTTTAAACTTGCTTTATGTATGAGCTTTGGTATAATTTAAGAGCTAAGGTTTTCTGTTTAATGTCTATTGAATGTAATATTCTAAATTATCTATAAATATGCCTGTTTTCATATCACTCTTGATTGTTAAGGAGAATTATATTTGAAAATAGTCATTTAGAAACTAAAAACTGATTCTGCAATCTTCATATTTTATTTTGTAGAACCAGCATTAGCGGTCCAAGGTCCGGCTATATTTACAGAATCAGCAAATGATACGAATGGAAGTAAGGAGATTTCCAGCCTTTTGGATAGTATCTTTTGGATGGCAGCACCCAAAAAGAGACGCAGCATTGAAGTTAACCGGTGTAGGAGAAGAAACCCTCAGAAGCTTATTAAAGTTAAGGTAATATGTTCATTTTTGTAGGTGTACTTTCTCTCATGACTATCACTGCATATCTTCCTTGTCTATTCATATAACCTTTGGGTAAATTATTCTCAAATCTTGTATGTCCACTTACTTCTGGCTTAAATAAAACGCAACATTCTCAGTATGTGTGTCTACTGTCCTGTAGCCTAAATAGTAACACAGTCAAGGAGGGAGTTTGGAGTCTGCACAGAGGACTGGATTGTAAAGAGCCTAAATGGCTTTTTAATTGTGAGCTGTGCCACTCCTGAGCTATATAATTTTGAACTATTTGTGGGTAAACATTTTAACTGTAGCAGGACCTGAAATTAAAGTTAGAAGCAATAGTTATATTGAACCTTGGTTTTTCTGGCTTTTACATATTTATTCTATTCTTCATTGTGTCCAGTAAAATACTGTGAAGGAAATTCCTTAGATTGGTAATAAAAATAGCTAACATCTGTTAAGTGACCATGATATACCTAAGATGTGGAGTATCTCATCAGTCTAACAGCCCCCCAAAGTAAACAGTGCTTAGATCATTTTTAGGATGAAGAAACTGAGGTAAAAAGAATTTACCTGCGGTCAGGTTTTGAGCCTGGCAGTCTAATTCTTGAGCTCAAATTCTTCTCTTTAAATTTTTTTGTTTGTTCCTATCATCAGACAGTTCCAGATCTCCACTCTCCATTAGATACATGGATACACTGTCTTCATTGACCTAGTACAAAAAATACAGTGTTTATTACCTTTAATCTGTTAATTTATGGCTTTAATAGCTATGTTTGAATTATTGGCATTCCATAGCAGCAGCACAGTGCAGATGAAACTCCAGAACATAACTTACTATTAAGCTGTTACGTTCATTATTAAACTAAACCCTTAGAACTTAAGCCAAGAAGTGTTAATGAGTCAAAGTTGGGACTAGACTTAAAATCTGGAACTGAAAAATACTTCATTAATTAAACAACAATAATTCATAGAATTGGTTGAGAGAATTTAAAATTTTAGGGACCTATTATCTGATTACCCTGACTGTTAATTCTGAGGGAAAAGAATAGCTCTTATCCTGTGCATTCATTGAATTGTTTTCTGCTACATGTATTACCCTAGGTGCTTTTTTTTAAATATTAAATTTATTGGAGTGACATTAGCTAATTAAGTTTCAACTATACAATTCTATGATACATTATCTGTTTTTTGCATTGTGTTTCCACCACCCAGAATCAAGTTTCCTTCCATCACCATGAATTTGGCTTCCTTTACCTTTATCTACTTTCCCTACCTCTCTTCTCTGCTAACCACCATACTGTTGTCTGTGAGTGAGTGTTTGTTTGTTGCTTTCTGTTTTATATCCTACATATAAGTGAAATCATATGGTTTTTGTCTTTTTCCAGCGGACTTACTTCACTTACTATGATATTCTGAAGATTCAAATGGCAGTATTTCATCTTTCTTATGGTTGAGTAGTAGTCTATTGTGTATATGTACCACATCTTCTTTATCCAGTCCTCTACTAAAGGACACTTTGGTTGTTTCCATGTGAATAATGCTGTAATAAACATATGGGTAAATATACATCTTACAAATAAATGTTTTCAAATTTTTCAGGTCAGTACCCAAAAGAAATATCGCTGGGTCATATGGTACCTCAATTTTTAATTTTTTGAGGACCCTCAAATTTTTTTCCATAGTCTTTATACCAATTTACTTTCCCACCAGCAGTGTATGAAGGTTTCTTTTTCTCCCCGTCCTCCAACACTTGTTTTTATTAATTGGTTTTAGGAGAGAAAGAAACATCAATTTATTGTTCCATCCATCCACGCATTCATTGGTTGATTCTAGTATATGTCAGGACCAGGGATCGAACCCACAATTTTGGCATATTGGGACGTTGCTCTAACCAACTGAGCTACCCAGCCAGGGCTCTTTGTGGCTTTAATTTGCATTACCCTTATCACTAGTAAAGTTGAGCATCTTTTTATGTATCTGTTGGCCACTTGTATGTCTTACCGGGGAAAAATGTCTGTTAGGTGCTCTGCCCATTTTCTAATTGATTTTTTGTTCAGTTGTATGAGTTACTTTTATATTTTGGATATTAGCCTATTATTAGAGGTATTGTTTGCAAATGTTTTCTCTCATTCAGTTGGTTGCCTTTTTGTTTTATTGGCTTTCTTTTGCTGCGCAGGAGCTTTTTAGTTTGATGTAGGGGTCTTTTGCCTTAGGGGTCGACTTCATAAAATCCTTTCTCAGATCAAGATCCATAAGTTTAGTACATATGCTTTCTTCTATGTATTTTACTGTTCCAGGTCTTATATTTAGGTCTTTGGTCCATTTTTAGTTCATTTTTGTGTATGGTATCAAATAGCAGTCTTTTCTTTTGCATATGAGTTTCCAATTTTCCAGCACCATATATTGAAGAGGCCTTCTTTTCTCCATTGTATGTTTTTGGCTCCTTTGTAAAAAATTAGTTTTCCATAGATATGTGGGTTTATTTCTGGGCTCTCAATTATATTCCATTTATCTGTGTGTCTGTTTTTCTTCCCACTGTTTTGATATTATAGTTTTGGAGTATAATTTGAAATCATGGAGTGTGAGACCTCTGGCTTTGTTCTTTTTCTCTCA